GATAGATAGATAGATAGATAGATAGATAGATAGATACATAGATACATAGATACATAGATACATAGATACATAGATAGACAGACAGACAGACAGATAGATAGATAGGTAAACATAGATAGATAGGTACATAGATGGATCCGATTAACATATCTTGGATAGGTGGTAGATGGATAAGTAGGTAGATGGACAGAGACAGGTAGACGAAACTGAAGAAGAGAAAGATAGACAGAAAGAAATATCGGTAGGTAGATGGACAGTTAGATAGGTAGACCGATGCATACATAGACAGATACGCAGATAAATCGGTAAGATAGATAGGTAGATAGAAGGATAGCAAGATAAAAACAGAGGGAATCGAGAGATAGATCGATTAGATTGCATTAGAACAGGAAACGAGATAGGCAGATAGGCAAATGGATTAGATTGGGTTGGATTAGGTCAGAGCAGGTTAGGTCATTACGCCATGAGGCGCGTGGTGATTTTCAAGGTTCGCCCTTCTTGGTTTCAATGCACCTGCCAATGATTTCAGCTTTTCTCAATGAACAACTGTGGTTTTATAATTCCTCCAAACTAATGTTTTTCGGAGAAAACACCCTTCATCTGACATCATCTCCATTTGGGCTCAATTTAGGTTGTGCGCTCCAAACATTGAGCAAATCAGATCACACCACCAAATTTCTTTGCAGCTGCACATCTTCGCAAGCTGGTTGGCGGGCATCTACTTGATGCTCTCAGCCTCACCTCAAAAATTCGTGATATGATAAACTGGCGGGCATCTACTTGACGGTCACGTGGAGACAGCCGCCAAAAGCAAAGGCAGCGCCTGGCGAGAACGCGAGACATAAGAGACCCACGAAGACCACAGAACGTTCTGATCATCACACAGTGCACGAAAGTCAATTGGAGATACGGTCAGGCATCGCAGAAGCAGCAATCGCAAAATCCAAAACTGGACCTGACACCGAAACAGCAGCAAAGACATCAACCCCCCTCCCCCCCCAACACCTCGCCAGAAAAACAGCTGAAACGCCGCGAAAAGACCAGAGGCCCTGTGGAACTAGCAACAAATATGTTGGGAAATGCGCAGATGCGTTGATGGACAAACGGATGGACAAACAAAAGAATGGACAGGAAGATGGATAGATGCACAAAGACCTCGGTGGATGAATAGGCAGGCAGATGGCTAGATAGAAAGATGAGTAGGCCAACAGGGCATGTAAGTGGAGCAGACACACACGCGCGCAACAGTATTGGCTTCTATCAAGTTCGAACCATGTGCCTAGCATAACCAGAGCTCCCGGCACCTGTTTTCCCAAAACCATCTCTGGTGCGATGGGTGCGGGGAGCTTTCAACGGGGCCGTGCTGGTGGTATGTGGGCTCCGAGCGGCCGTGCTGGTGGGATTTGGAGGGCATTGGCTTCTGGGATGGGAGCGTTTGTGGGCGTGAGCTCGAGGAAAAAACTAGACCACGGTTGGCCCGAAAGCATAACATCGCAAGCGAGGTCGGCCCGACGCTGCAGGATGCGTTCTTTTTCCCTACACGAAGCATTCGTGAAGCAAGCGCGAGACAGCACCAGGCAAGGTGCTCTGCACAAACTGGTCGGTGCAAGTTGGTCTGCGCAAGTTGCTCTACGCAAGTTGCACTGTGCAAGTTGCTCGGCGCAAGTTGCTCCACGCAAGTTGCTCCGTACAAGTTGGTCCCTGCAAGTGGCTCCCTTCAAGTTGCTCTGTGCAAATTGCTGCGTGCAAGTTGCTCCCTGCAAGTTGCTCTGTGCAAGCTGCTCTGCGCAAGTTGCTCTGTGCAAGTTGCTCTGCGTAAGTTGCTCTGCGCAAGTTGCTCTAGGCAAGGCGCTCTGCGCAAACTGGTCGGTGCAAGTTGGTCTGCGCAAGTTGCTCTGTGCAAGTTGCTCTGCGCAAGTTGCTCTGCGCAAGTTGCTTTATGCAAGTTGCATCTTGCGACGCCCGCCCGCGGACCAGGGCGGCGACCCGCCGGTCCCGGGAGCAGGCGCGCTTGCTTCTTGCAATGGCTCCTTGCAATGACTCCTTGCAATGGCTCCTTGCAATGATCCTTGCAATGGCTCCTTGCAATGACTCCTTGCAATGACTCCTTGCAATGACTCCTTGCAATGACTCCTTGCAATGACTCCTTGCAATGACTCCTTGCAATGACTCCTTGCAATGACTCCTTGCAATGACTCCTTGCAATGACTCCTAGCAATGACTCCTAGCAATGACTCCTTGCAATGACTCCTTGCAATGACTCCTTGCAATGACTCCTTGCAATGACTCCTTGCAATGACTCCTTGCAATGACTCCTTGCAATGACTCCGCGCATTGACTTTCATGATGATGATTCCTTGCAATGACACCTTGCAATGGCTCTCATGAGAACAACTCAAGTGAACCCAGCGGAAGAACCCTTCGCCATGCTTTCGGGAATAGTAGGCTAGTTGGACAGATCTTGCTCCGCGCCTGGCGTGGGTTGTTAGACAACGGCAGCCTCGTGTCAATGACTGCGTCAAGTTAGTAGCCTCCTCTTTCGTCGGCCTTGACAGTCCCGACAAACTTCCCGGGCCCGACGGGCTCGACGGGCCCGACGGGCCCGACGGGCCTGACGGGCCTGACGGGCCCGACGGGCCCGAACAGTGAGAGGACATTGGCCCGTTAAGCTGCAAGTTCGGGAATCGTTTGATGCAACCCTTGCACGAAACCCATCAGCTCTAGCCCTTTCTTTCGGGCGAATGGCCCTTTCTGGACGAGGCGCTTGACCCTCGCAGGTCAATGACATTATCACCGGCATCGACACCGCCACACGGGAAGCCAATGAAGCTTACCAGGCAGGCAAACAACTGGTGGAGTGAGGAAGCTCGCAGTCCGGTGGCTACACTTCCGGCAAGCAGTATAGTGTAACTAGGGGCAGCTTCGTGAAGAAATAGACCTTGTCCGGGAATCAAATAATTCTACGACATCTAAGGCGAGGCCAAGACCCTGGCTAGAAAGATCAACTTCCATCAACTTCCTAAGTTTCAAGGCTGCCACGTAGTTTTCTCAGATGGGGGCAAGGGGACATCGTCGCAAGTCGCTGGCCTTTGTGATACCCGTTGTGTCGTGCCTTGCAAAGAGCTAGGGACCCAATAGGGGAAAGTCCCGCACCCCTCTTTGAGTCAAGCAAATAGAACAAATATCCTGCGCAGTCCGTTTTTGTTTTTGTTTTCTTTTCGAAGAGAATCCGAAGTAAAACCACCTGTGAGACAAACCCATGTGAGGGCCAAAAGGAGTCTCTTCTGGTGTCAAGCAAATGCATTGGCGACTTCGCGATTGATCTGGAATCCAAGGGCTGCACTTGTTTTTGTTGTTTAATAGCCAATTTCTTGAGAGGGTATTTTTTGTTTTTCTTGTTAATTTCCAGAGAGACGCAGGAAGAGTTCACTGAATTCCGTTGAAATTAGCTAGGCTCTCCTAGGCTCCACTCATTCTTGGCTCTGTTTGGTGGGAGCTTGAAGCTTTCACTTGGGAACATGGTGGCCAGTGCCAAGCGGCACAAAGTCGCCCAATCCATCGCTCTCGCTCCTCGCAGGTCTGCACCGAGCTGGTGAGGAAGAACGATGTCAAGGCTGGGCCTGGGCAAAAGGCCAGTAGGCTGCCAAACGTAGGTGTCCTTTTTGGTTGTTTGGTAGAAAAATGCATGGCGATTCCGGGTTTACCTGGTGGTTTAATCATCTACGGGCCATCTATTTTCCCTAAAAGGACACCTAGGTTGCCAAAGTTCTCAAAGACATCCAGGCCTGGGTTCCTTCATAAATAGGGAAATCAAGTAAAGGTTGTTTCAATAATAGTGGATTCAACGTGACGGAACAAAGGAGTGAACCTTTCCTGGCATATCCTGGCCAATCTATGGGGTGGGGCGTTGCTCACATTGATTTCCGTGCTGAGGGCCTGGACGCAGACGCGAAAGACTTGAAGGATCAGCACTCCCGACTCATGCAGAGGTGGGCGCAACGCAAATGGCTTTAGGTATGTGTCCAAATCGGGGGTTTGAAAAGGTTACCGGTTGGTGTTTTCCTTTTGGTTTTCCTTGATCAAGCTCAAGAAAAGGGGTACCCTCAAAAAGACGCACCCAAATAGGTGAGACCCTCAAACTAGTTATTTGGACTCCATTTGAAGCAACCCGCCGCAAGGGGTAACCCAAATGAGACAGACCCAAATGGGCATCGAGACAACGCCAAAGTGCACAGGGAATCCTATTTTCCCACAAGCCAAGCTATCATCCAAATAGGCCCGTTCACCCGTTCTGCGCAGAAAGGTGCCATGAGATCGCTTATTGCAAGTGAACAAATTAAATCACATCCAGGCAAAAGCTCCAGTAAGTTACAGTAGAATATCGAGCAACACTCTTGCCCTTTGAAGTCTTTCAGGCAGCCGTATGTCTCCAACAAAATGAGGCGTGTTTCTTTCATTTGCTCATTTGACAAGCGCTAGAAGGCAGTGGTTGATTTCATGAAAGCAGCCCCGACGCGAGTGTGCTCTATCTCGAGCCGCGTGCCATTTGCGCCAAAAGAGACGCTTGGTGGCCGCGGCCAGTTGGGGCTATCCGCTTGTTTTGCTTAAATGGGTATGGGTCAAAATAAATTGTCCAGGGGACCGCACATTTTTGTCCATGGTTCCATTTACCAGGGTTCCATTTTCGGTACGCATTTTTGACCCACGGCGAAATGCCGCTGGGCTCACAGGACTGTAGCGGGCGCGGGCGTACGTTCGCCTTTGTGAGGATTCCAAAAGCTGAGGCGATCGGCATTGCATTCGGCGGCAGTGGAACCTTTTGCTGTGTGAGCCTTGGTTGGGCGGAAGTTCCTTTGGCTAACCGCTTTTTCACGCTTTTCCCACTCGATGCGCGGCGAATTGCGGCGGACTTTTTCGGGATTGCGGCGAACTATTCCGGAAGCATGTTGTGCATGGTTGCGAAGATCCTGCTCTCGACACAGGAGCCCGGGCAATGCGTCATGGCGAGGCTTTTTTTCAAAACGCCGCCGCCGGTAAACGGCGCTTGCTTTACGAACATCGCCGGCCGCTAGCTGCTTCGACTTGCTCTCACATCGGTGTGGCAAGTTAATCCTCCTTTTGCGCTCATTGTTCGCAGGGTGGTGCCAAAGGAAGCAACAATTATGTTGTAGGAAGCAACAGTTGTGCTAGGAAGCAACAAGGTGCGAACACATTGAAACATGCCTCTTGGAATCCACCTTGCATTGCTGAAGACATACGATTCAACATGTTTGGCAGTAGTGGCGGCGCTTCCGTTGATTTGGCGCTGCCAATCGGAGGATGTTTCCGCCGGAGGAGGTTCTATACATAAAATATCTATGCACTATGTGGCGCGGAGCCAGCGACAGTGCGCCAGGATGGCTGCGTGTAGCATGCGGAAGGACACCACCATCAAGTCCTGCACCGAGTCCAAGACGGAGGCAGATGGGCCTGAAAGTTGTGAAAGGACCTGAAAGGATCCGCATTTCAGTGGCCTTTGTTTTCCTGTTGATATTGAATTCTCGAGCCGTTTGATTGCGTCGTTGGAGTGTCGTTGGCTGTTGTTTTCGCGTTGTTTTGCAATTATGTCCTTGGCTCTGTTGCATCACTGTCGGTGGTTGTCGTCTTCCTGTCTTTTGTTGCATGTTATATTAATGCTGTTTGTGTTGCTGTGTTTCATGCCCATGTGGTTGTGGCATATTGTTGTTGTGTCCCCAACTTCTGATATTTGCTTACTGTAGCTTGCTTTTGTTGTTCCTATTGATTGTGGCGCTGTTTGTGTCCACGCCTGCCAAAAGAACACTCGCTCTGCAGTGTGTCCGCACCTGCCAAATGATCAGCACACCGCTCAAATGCACCCGCTCAGCAGTGTATCCACGCCTGCCAAATGATCAGCACCATGCTCAAGCTCACCCACTGTATCCACGCTGTGTTGGCATTGAGCATTTTGCAGGATTGCTCTTTTGTCAAATTGCGTGGTTTTGGCCTTGGTTGGTTTCCCAACTTGGGCGTGTAGCAGGGTCGTGAATTCCTTTGCGCCACTAGTGAGGCCGTGACTCCGTGCTTTCCCGTATGATTTGAGGGCCGGTTGTGTACCTTGAAGACCATGTAACGAGAGCACATCTCGTTGTTTTATACCTTTTTAGTTGGTTGATTGTTTCCCTTCACCTTGTGTCGTTTCTCTTTCTTTGGGGTCTGGTTAAGCCTGGTCAGGCCCCCCCCCCCGCTCGGGCAACTCGAGGCATTGAGAAGAGCAGAGGCCAAGGAGAAGTTCGCGAAACAGATGGCCTTGCTCTCAGAGTTCGGGTCAACTCGGATGCGGGTGACGGTTTGTTGGTGTTATCAAAGTCAGAAGCTGGGGTTGTTGCCCTTTACCCTACCACTTGAAGAGTGACGTTGAGAAGTGGAAAAAGGTCATTAGGCTTCTAGGTGTTTCTGATGAACAAAATGCCCATGCAGCTCGGTTAACTTTGCGAAAACTTCCTCTCGTTGTGGTACAAAATATGTGCATTTGATTTTTTGAAAGGGAATTTTGAGGGTCCGGGCAAACGGTTTTCCTGTTTGGGAATAGGTTAACCCTTGGTTCACGTCCACTGCCTTGAGAGGGGTCCCCGGTTCCAAGATGTCCTTTGACCCGAGGGTAGAAGAGCGGAGGGAACGGAACCGTTGCCATTCGCTGAAAAAGCCGGGCTTTCATCAGGAGATTCAGAGTTTTATTAAACTCTTCACTCCCCGAGTTCTTGGGCTTGAACCTTTTTAGGGAGACCATTTTAGGGGTAAATGAAATGCCATAGGTGTTTTTTCGGCCAACCCACTCAGGAAGTGAGACGGGTTCCATCTTGCACCAAATCGCATGTAGCATCTTCTTTGGGGTCACCCAATGTTGTTGTTCCATTGGTTTTTGACAGACCCGGTGTTTTTGCAAGGTTTTGATTGCGGGTCAGCCTGGGAGACGTCTTAGATCTTCTTTTCACGGTTGATGCCCCGTTTTGTTCGCAAGTAACCCGCATAACAAAAGGGGGAAAGGACGCTCAGCAGGTTCGAGCCAACCTGGAAGTCAAAGCGAGTCCTGGTTTTTCATTTGCCTTCCAGTGCCATCAAACGGCAATGCATGTGGTTTTTCAGGCCTTCCAGTAGGTCCCTTTGAACATATTTGAACAATCCGTATTCCTGTGCAAGGCCACCATACTTTTGGTGGTCTATTGTTGGTTGGGGAACACAGGCCCCAATTTTTTACTCCTCGCCTCGGCCCTTTCGATTGATGTTGGCCCCCCTAACCTACCCCAATGGATGTTGCAACCCGGGGGCGATATCCCTTTTTGCATGGGTAGTTTGAGGGTCCAGGGTTGCATTTTAAGGGTCACTGAACATGGTCGGGGTCCCAAGCAGAGGTAGGTAATAACGCATGAATTCAGAAGACACCCCGCGTGGCTAGTCCTTCAAGGTGTCTGCAATGTTTCGCACTAACCGGTGCACTTCCAAACTAAATCCTAATTTAATGTTTCTTGCGAACAGGCATGTGCAGGACAGGTTTTGGTACGAAGCTGCACTAACGTGAAGCCATGAAGCCAAATCAAATGAGTCACAATCAAACCGGTCGGCATGAAAAGGGTCTCTCCAGAACCATGTGAGGAATTAGAAAGGCGGCTGCGCCCATGTATGGTTGGGATTGTCCTTTGCCATCCTTCATCTATACCCAGGTTTTGATTGTGGCTCAAGAGCATCACCAAACCTTTGGCCCAGATCAGGCAAGGTCTAGCACCAAGTGCGCTTGCAACCTCGTACTGAAGCTTTGGGTTCAGCGGGAAAGAAGGAAAGCCGCGAAAAAAACGGACCTGTCAAAAGAGCACTCCCATGTTGATATGAGAAGTAACTGGGGCAGGTTGTCAATCGGGCGCCAACATTGTCAAGCCAAGTGCGAACTCGGGTCCGAAAGCCCGAAAGAAGGACCTTGTGCGACTTCAAACTCGGACCTATTGTCCGAGCCAAACATCAACCTCGACTCTCAAACTACCCATGCACTGGAGTGTTGCCCCTAGCTTGTGAAGTGATTTCAAACTGCTTGGGTAGTTTGAGGGTCCCGTTAGCCAAACAAACAGCGATCCATTTGGGCAAATTACCTTTGCCCATGAACGGCGTGGGGTCCCGTTGCTCAGGCTCTGTTCTCCAAGTATGATGCCAACAAGGATGGCGTGCTGGACAAGAAGGAGGCTTCGAGTCGGGGTTTCCCAGGAGTTACCATACTCATTGGGATTCGCCCAACAACCCCTGCCTCCGCACCAGTGCAGACCCAAAAGTGTTGCACGAGGTTTCTTAAACGCATGTCGCAACCAACCCTCGGAGAATCGAGTAATCCACTCCCAGCCGTGTCCCAAGATAGAGAAAACGACAGGATGTGCGGCGCGTACAAGGAATCTGCTTGCTGTTTGACCCCATGTTCCTCAGCAAGAGTTCCCGAGCTTCTTCAGGATCCAGCAGCTGCGTCGCCAAGCTGGCGCCACACCAAACGGTTCACTAAGCCCATGTGGCACAAGTATCCCACCCCTTTAGCCCCGGATACGTTTAACTGTGGTTGGTTGCAAACAATGCAATGGTGATTACGCTGTATAAATTCGTACTGTTTTGCAACCAGAAAGTTAAGCATAAAGTTAAGCATAAAGAGTGGTTCTTGTGTTAAATAGAACACATATTGAATGGCATACGTTGATTTTACGTTATGCGTTGCATACATGGAGCTCTGAAAGCTGCGCCGTGGAACCCGGGGGTCCAGATAGACCCGGATCTGGGAACCGTTCGGACTCCAGACCGCAGATCCCGACGGAGCTGTGGGGTCTTGTAGCCTGGACAGGGCGGCATGGCAGGGGAGGATCCAAAAACAAGCTTCGCAAGAAGTCAGGAGCCACACTTGCAATCACCACCTGAAATCATCCTCCTGAAAGCGGAATGGTGTCGGAAAGCAAAACAGCTCACAAAGTCTATCGACCCTGCGTGAGTCGCTTGGGTTGCTACATAGGATTTGTGTCTGCAATTGCTGCATTCCGATTTGTTTCTTTGCTGCCCGACTGCCAGATCGCCAACTTTGCGAAGAAGGAGCACAACTTCGCAGTGCCGGATCCGGCCATGGTGTTGCTCTTGAAGGCAACTCGGGCGCTTTCGCGAGCAGAGATCCCCTGCGCAGAAAATCCTCAGGGGTTGTGCTCACTGTAGAACCATCTCGAAGTCACAGGGTGTTGGGTGTGAAAAACCTTGGGGGAGTAGCAATGGGAGTGGCCTGCGGAATGACCCGAACAGCTTTGCACGTCGCGAATCCCACGTTTCTTTTTTTGTCTCGGGTGCCGCATGCGAACAAAAAGTATACCGCCCGCAAGAAGGGTTCTTGGAATCTTGTGGGTTCTTAGAAGCGTTCTCAGAATCATTCTGCGTTGGCTCTGGGTCGCTGTTTGTAGACCCGTTCAACACCCAGTGACATCCCTTCGACCAATTGGGAGCTGGGGGAAAGCACTTGAGACGGGAGTTGAGCTGATTTCCCGTTTTCAGGTTTTCTCAACAAGGTTTCAATCAAGACGCAGGCTCTTGTTGGTTTTTCTCTTGGTTCAAAAGGCTGCAAACAACAAACAACCGACTAGGTGCGGTGTGGCACGTCGCAACGGCCAAGTGTGCCTTGATCCATTGCACAACACCAGTTGCAATTTGGGACACTTCCCAAACCATCATAAACCAATTGTAGCCAGTTACCAAAACCCAAGTGGGGGCAAATGATGTTACTGTGGCTCACAAAACCGGTACCAAAATCAATCCTGGTAAGTGGAAACATGGACCAAAACTTGGGTAGCCCCTCCTGTTTAATTCTGAGCCACACCCACACTTTGTGTTCCTGCATCTGAGCTACCGCAAGAAAGGTTCGTTTGTCCCACAGGGTCGCTCTTGTGCTGCGCAGCTGGCCGGCGAAGATATCCCTCCCTGATTCTGGTGCTGCTCCTGGCCCAGGTTGAAACGGGGATGTGTTGATTGGTACATCTATGATGCCAGGGCACGCAAGAGCCCCACCCACACACACACACAATCCTTCTATCGATATGTATGTATAGCACATATATATATATATATGAATAAACATAACAATACGAAGAATAATACTCATAGTGATTAGATTAGTAAGCATAATCAAAAAAGTGATCAGATTAGTAACTATCATAAACATAAAGATAGTATCAGTAATCATAATCATAATACTGATAATAATGATAGTAGCAGTAATCATAATCATAATCCTGAAAATAATGATAATCGTGTGTCAGTGAATGGCAATTTCAGGCTGCTGACCGTGTGATCCAAATCTAGTTACAAAGGGTTGGGGGTCAAAGGCAAACCACGTTTCATAATGTTCCACACAGACAGTTCACCTAAACTGTGTGGTGCCAGTTTAGGTGTGTCTGTTAGGGGGGAACTCTCTTTTGGTTGGCTTTGAAGGCAAACCCAAAGGACACCAACCTTTTTGGGCTTCCCGAATTTTGAGACACACCCATTTGCATGTTCGTTCGCCAGAACATATCGACCAGTTTGAAAACTTCCGTTTGATCTTGGCAGAGTCCGACAAGGAGGGGGAGGTTGGGGGGAAAAGCGACTTCATCGGTTTTGAGCCATATTTAACACATCCGCTCATGGGAAAATCTTCTTTTGGGATCCGTCCTTTTCCTGGGCTGCTTCTGCTTAATTGAAGGGGAGTAGCGGCAACGGAAGAAAGATAAACAACAACCTGGACCCTCAAGCTACCCAGATTGGATGTTGCAACCCAAAATCATGGTTGGTGATATTTTTTTTTGTATTTTATGTTCGGTTCAGGACAACCGTTTTTTGTTTGGAGACTCCTTTTCTGTCGCGGCCGTCAGGCACTGATTGAGGATGGGGCCAAGGCTTTGATGGGGCGACGGGGGACCGGGCGAACAGAGATATACCACTCCCACAAACACAGAACCTGCACAGGGGTCCCCTTGAGTGGACATGTGTCATTCAGGAACCCCTGTGCAGGTTCTATGTTTGATTTTGGGAGAGTATTGTTGCTGGGGTCTCCTCCAAAAGTATGTTATATGGGGAGTTGACTCCATGGTAACGATCTCTTTGCTAGCATGTTGAACAATATTGATAAGGATTCCTACCACAAGAGATATTATCACGCCCAATAAAAGTATGTTTTGGATATGAATCATGGGTACGGTCTCCCAGGGTAGGGCCAGAGGCACCCGTTTTTGGGGTCAAAGGCTTGCCTCGGGCGAACTTCCCCATGCCCGAAGCTTGCACCTGGCGTGAGTGGACAAATCGGACGATTTGTCAGGATTGCTCCCGGGCCACCCAAAGCATGTGGATGGGCCCCATGTTTGATTCGGGTCAGGGGGGACACTCCGTTGCAAATCTCCGGTTTCAGCGGATCCTCTTCATATTTCGGATTCTTTCCCGGAATGGGACGATGGTTTTGAGTCAATCAGACCATTCTGGTCACCAGGACCCTCAAACTACCCTTCAAAACGGGTTGTCGCCCCAAACATTTTGGGGTGGGTTCCCTTTCTGGGTTCAGGGTCCAGGGTTTCCTTTGGCTCGCCGCTCACATACCAGCGATCGCTTCACCTGCCATCTCCGTCCGGCTCACTCAGTCTATTTGCTCTGCGAACTTATGCTTTCCCCCTCTTTGGGGGAGTGAGAATTTTGCTGGCTCCAGCTCTGACAATTACTGGCATCATAGTATTCTTACGGTTCCTGGTTGATAGCAACATATCAGAGAAACATCTCACACCGGGTTTTGGGTTTCCATATCAGCGGGTGTGAGCGAAGCACCGGGAAAGAACAGGGATTGGGAAGTGTTTTGGGAGCGGGATGTGGGATGTTGCAAACCACAAGGAGGGGTGGCCTCAAATGAGATTGGACATTGATCCTTGCCAACATAGGATCACTCATATCCCCTTTGCGGGGCAATCTGTGTGTGTGTGTGTTTCCATTTGGAACCTGGCTGGAATCCACTGCCTTGACTGACTCCCTGATACTTGGGTTTGCGACTGTCAACTACGAAACGGAACTATTTGTTTTCCAGGGGGGGGGTAAAACACAAAAAGAGCGAAGTCTACAAGAAACCCAGCACTTGATGATAGCCCCTCAAGGTGTTCGACTTGCCTGGTGGCTCCTTTCTCTTGTCGGCACCCTTGTTGAAACCGTGCTCCTTCCCCAACGGACAGCTTTGACGATTGGGAACTATAGAAACCCAAAAGCGAGTATTTGTGACTATCAGAGTTTGGTGAATTGGTTATATATATATATATGATAAAATAATTCAAACAGGCTATGGTAATTTTCCGTTGTACATGTTGCTGCTTTCAGTCAATAGGGCACCTGTGACTGCATTTTCCCTTGCGCTTTTCACGGATGGATCCCTTGGTTACCGCACAGATATACAGGACCCGCCAAATGGACTTCCGATTTCCTTTTGGTTTCCTTTTTTCCAGGCCAATCCCCTTGCTGGACCCTACCACAGGCCTTGCAGAGCCTTCCCTCCCCCAAAACAAGATCTATATATGTTTTTTGCTCAGCCCAAAAATCATGGACTATCGGGGGGGCCTATGAGGGGGGGGGCTACTTCCTTTATCCATAAGGGTTGGATAAGCTTTGGGAAAGGACATGATTCTTATTGGCTCATGGCCATGTCTTCACTAACACGGCGTTCGTACAGTCACTAGTGCCACGACCAAGCCGGTTAAGTTTTTTTCTGCGGTTGCCCTGGGCGTCCCAAGCTGGTCCTCCTATTCTGGGCTTATCCTCGGCTTATCCTGGGCTTATCCTGGGCTTATCCTCCGCTTATCCTGAGCTTACCCTGGGCTTATCCTCAGCTTATCCTCGGCTTATCCATAAGGGCTTAATAGACCTTAATAAGGTTTTAATAAGGTCTTATTAAGGCCTTATTCGAGGGCTATTAGTCTCTTAATAAGAAACGTGGGGAACAAGGCGCCCTGAGAAGCGCCGAACGTACCAAGTGGAAAAGCACTCGCTTGTGACTTGTGATGAAAGACTCTTGACTACCTGACACCTGTCAATGCGGGTCACCCCACAAAAACAAAACACGTAAGACCATTTGCCACCAGCAGAGGGCCTGAAGTAAAACCATGCTTTTGCAGCTCTCCACTAAGGGATCTGCTGCTTAGGCTTGGATAGAGAAACTTTCTTATTATTGCCTTATTAGGGTCTTATTAAGGGCTTATCCATTTTTTGTGGATAAGCACTTATTAAATCCCTATTAAAGCCTTGATAAGCCTATGATAAGACCTTATTAAAGGTTTATTCAGAGAAAGCACAACTACACCCTAATCCTGTGCTTGTGCATAATTGAAGTAGCCCCCCCCCCATAGTGAAGAACCGTAGGCGCAACGCACCTCCATTGGTTTTCTCCTTAGCCTTCGATGGCGGTCAAGGGGCCCCTAGTGTACAGCCAGTGGCAGCGGTGAGCACATCTCATGATGCACCATGCTGCATTTTCACACGCCCTCTGTGCGAGGGTGCTGCCTATGCTGTACAGCTCATTTCAGCTCACGCTGCATTCCAATCTGCTCTGGCTCCCAACGGATGCGGCGCAAGTAGGCTGCAAGGTCCACGGCCTGACTCTCTGAGTTCTCGCGGCTGTGGTTGCCGTAGGTCCGGAGGATCCAACCAAGGTAGCGCTTGGTCTCGGTGTTGATCTTACTCTGGCGAACCACCTCCTCATAGTTCCAAGACATTTTGGCATACTTGGGGAGCTTGACCAGGGTACGTCCCCAGGTGTCCACATCGGGCACCCCGGGAGGAAGCTTAATGCTCACATCGCTGGTGTGAGGCATCTGAAGTCCAGCCGCAGCGGATGCGGGCGGATAGCCCATTGCGGACTGGCTAGGCATCGGTGCAGACGTAGCACCCGGGTGGTAGCTTCGGCTTCCCACTGCCTCCAAGGTGAGCCAGCTGCTGAGGCTCTCGCCATCATCTTCGGGATCACGGCGTCTCTTGCAGGCGTCGGTCATGCTCTCGAGGAACTCCTCCTTTGCGAACTTAAGCAACAGGAGGTCGGTGACCTGAGGCAGCTGCTTGTGGGCGACGGCGCGGTTGATCATGTAGGCGGTCTGGATGACCTCCTCTTCACTCAGCGGCCCATCTTCAGCTAGCTTGCCGAACTCACCGAACGTCTTCTTGGCCTTGCTCATGGTCAGAGCAAGCAGCGCACTTAAGCTTGAGAGCTCACAAGGGCTGTCTCGGTTGAGACGTTTCACACTTGACTTCTCACAAAGGCTTGTGTCTGATGACACTTGCATGCACTAATCCTATTTCGGAAAAAGATAAATGTCAGGTAAGAATGGGGATCAAAACCTTACCTGGGCTCTAAACTATACAGGTCTAATGCTGGCCACGGCAAATCCCTTTTGGGCTCATGCATGAAAAACTTTCACATCAAGAGGTTGTAAGGCGTCCTCTGCCTCACATGTCACGATGCAAACGTGTGGCACACTATGCACTAATCTCACCGCTAGGTGAGCTGGGGTTTCCCCTCTCTTTCCTGCCGGATGTTGCACACGGTTTTATATGGTATACCCCTTTTTGGATGAGGCTAATCAAAGGACCTTTATCCCCCTTCAGTTTTGTCAAGGGATCTGCGATCATCCGAAGATTATTAATCCAAAAGGGCTTGATGTTCTGATTCTCAAGTGTCTCCCTGGCGATAGAGTAATCGATATGCAACCTTCTCTCAAGAGAAACGGATTGGCTGCAGCACGATCTGCTTATTGCGTCAAAGAAACCTTTTGAATCAACCACCACTGCTGCTGGTTCTCTTGGAATGCTTTCCCGAAATTTGCGAGGCGTAACCTGGTGCAAGGTTTCAGCTAGCAAGGCTTGGAACAACTCTATGCTGTCTAGGCCATTTTGCCCTGCAAGAGTTTCTGCTGCTACTGAAGATCTTACCACTCTTCGCAACTTTTTGGAACTCCAATCCACGATCCAGCAGGCTGCAGGCTTTTGCTCTAGGAGGTCCTGATGCCCGAGGCACAGAACGTAGCCCCCCTGTGACTCCCCACTTTCTCGGGTTCCCCAACCAGCATCTGTTACACAAACGATGCGCCATTTTGTGATAGGCACATGGCTAGGAAATTTCATCACGAGTTTGTTCTCTTTCATTTCCCGGAGAGTTTTGTTGTACAGTGTCACATGGGCGACCGTTCCCTTTTCTTGTGCCCCTTGCAAATAGGACGCGAGGAATGCTTGGTCCGGGCGCGTATGGTTTGCAACCCAGGCCAACTGGCCGGCACACGTTCTCAAAATGCTCTTGTCGGTCAGCTTTGTTGAAGCAGTGCCTAAGGGCTTAGTCGAGACGGGTCCCAAACTTTCAATATAGGTCTCCTGCCCAACTTCAATGCTATGATCAAGAGGGTTCTGTCTTATTTCAATGCCCGTGTAACGGATGGTATGGGTTCGATAGTCTCCAAAGGGCAACACTTTGCGAAGACGTTTCAACACCTCATCCATTTCCTTTTCACCTCCACCGATGATATCATCCACATGTACCCCACATACACCTTTCAACACCTGTTTGATGTGTAGGGTAAAGAGGCAAGGATCAAGTTGACTTTGAACCAAACCTACGGAAATCAGTTCGCGTTTCAATCGCAAGAACCAAGCTCTGGGAGCCTCGGCTAGCCCATAAGCTGCTTTCTCTAGGCGTAGGAGGTCCTCTGCACTCAACCCCATCCACTCTCGAATTTCATCGGGTGGTTTGAAGTACACGTCACGGCACTGGGGATCACCTGACAGGAATGCGGTTTTGATGTCTGCTCCCCAAAGTACCCAATGTTGGCTTGCACAAATCGAAAGGATCAAGTTCTTGGACTCTTTCCTGAGCGTAGGGCTGTCAGTTGCAATTTTCCCAAGCTCAGGGTCCTGCCAACCTACCAACACAAGGCGTGCTTTTGGGGTTTTCTGTTTGACATCAGGATCACTTGATTTCTTCCATGTCAGAACCCAGCGGGCACGGATTATGCGCTCTGGCGGTATTCCTTTGCTGCGGCACACAGAGGTGACTTTGTTCTCAACCCATGAATTCCACTCCTTGTTCATTGCTTTCCTAAAGAGTATTTTGTCTTCTGGATTGAGTCTTCTGTAAGACACTTCTACCTTTCTAAGCTTCGCCTGAGGTGTCGCGGCATTTGCAAAACACTCTTCCAGCACACTCCACAAGCACAGAGGATTATCTGTTATATCTTCAGGCATTATGTCCAATGACACTTCACTAAGAAATGCTTGTTCTTCAAACATGGCTTCTACCTTAAGACAATCTTCATCCTCATCCATGGGTACTGGAGTATCCACGGCTTGCGAAGGCTCAGGCTGGCTCGGCTCGGCTGGATCCACGGAAGATCCATGGGTAGCAAGGTCTGAGGCTGGAGGCAACACATCACTCGTCTCTCGCATCGGCTCTAAGCCGCCCTCCAAACTAGCACTTTGGTTTGGCTGCTCATCAGGGGGGATGACACTTGGTGTGTATTCTTCTTCTTCATCGCCCTCTGGGATAGGCTCAAACAAACGTCTACGGCTGGCTGGTGGCTCCGATGGCTGATTTTCGATGGGATGCTTGCTGCCTCGATCGTGATCGATCTGCATCGGTAAGGGGGTATCACCGCCCTCTCGGTATCGGCTGCCGCGATTTCCTTCGGCTGCACGTTGTTCCCAGTAATTTCCATCCCGGGTGATGCGACGGCGAACCTGTCTACTAGATTCTACGTCTTGTAACTCATCTTCTTCTGCATTAAGTTGAAAGTCATCATCACCCGGCACATCCTGGGTTAGGTCTTGGAATTGGCCCCCAGGTCCACTTAGAAGCTGCCTTGCACTTTCAAGCTCCGGGTCAAGACTCCCTGAATCAAAGCTTTTTGAAAGGGCACGGAATTCTGCTTCGTCCTGTGGTATAGGTCTCAGAGACTCTGGGGAACATCTATACAGGCACCCGTTGTATGAAACCCAAATGACCCTTGGAATAGGTCCTCCACTCAAGGTTTCAGCCCCAATGATTTTTCCTGGCCCCAACCAAACACCATGTCTAGTCGACAAAAGACCTCTTGCTCGTCTCCGGAAAAAGTAAACCATTTGACCGGTAATGTAGGGACCTCTCATGGGACGTGACTTTGCAAGAAGGCACGGCGCCATATGCTTTTAGCATGCTCCTCATGAAATGCTAGAGCAGCTTGTTCACGTAGATGCACTTTGGCGGCAAACGTAGCGTCGGCCAACACTTGACTTTGTGAAGCCAAGTTTTGTTGCTCACCAAGGTCACTCAGTAAACCTGCATGACGGCTTTCCCTTCCTAGAAACCACTGTGAGGGAGAAAAACCACACTTCCTGAGCTGTTCGTTTCTCGCAGTACAGCACGACTCTATGGTTTCTTCGGGTGGCCTTGATGTAGTTCTCCAAACACGGCGGGCCATGTTTCTTAGGATTCGGTTTGCCAGCTCGACTCGGCCAATCTGCCAATGGCTTTCAGTAGCTGTGCTCAACAAGGCAATTGTGTTATGCTCAAGGTAACTCTGAAAGTCGTTAGACAACCAGTTTCCATCAGGATCCACATAGACCGATTTAGGAGCCCCATAGGGTCTAATCCAGGCCTGATGAAATGCTTTGGCAGCTTGGCTTGGTCCTGGTGGCACGATCACTTGTTGGCAAAAGTCAGTGGCGAGGTCCACACAAGTCAGCACATTGAATTTTATCTCCACCATTTCACCGGATGAATTTTCCCTTTTGAGTTCAACCTGTACCATATCTAGGCCTACTATTTCGTTAGGGACATCGGTATGGGAGATGGTGGCTGTGCGTCGGCTGGGTGGCACTTTGAGTTCTTCGCACACTGAGCACTTGAAATCACGAATTGCCTGCACGATCGAATCACTTGCTTTGCATCGGTGTGCCAAGCGTAGCATCTGTTCTACACTGGAATGCCCAGTATTCACATGCAATTTGCTCACTAAGGCTTTATCTCTGCTAGGCACACGGATTTCTGCTTCGGGTTGATCGGGCTGGTCGGGCTGATCGGGGTCGCCCTCTTGGCTTGAATCGGCTTCGTCGTCGGCTGGCTCGCTATCGCTTTCGACTTCGGCTGCCAGCACATCCATAGCACGCACAGGCTGCTCATCACAGGCACGTAGCAAGGCTTCCGTTACCACTTTACAGAACTTGTATGGATAAGTCTCTGCAAACGCGGTGAGATTGGTTCCCTTAAACTTACCTTCCAAGTGCGCATGCGAAATGCATCCTGGGCAACGGCGCTTCTCTAAGGACTCGGCTAGTCCCCGGCACGAGGTGACAATGCGAGTAGGCTTAAGCACAGGTTTTTGACTTTTTGGACATTTTAAGCCTAAACTGCACTGATCTATTCTCACCTCATACACAGGTCCTAAATGCAACGCTTGCCATGCATCCGAAGTGAGAGGGTTCTCACCATGCGAATGACCTCCCAGGCTCACTTGCAATCTCCAAGCATCTGAAACGGCTTGCAAATATTGGCGTGCAACATCACGTTCCTGTTGGATGGCTTTGCAAGTGTCCTGATTTCGTGCCATGTTGAATCGAGACCACGGTCCCCAGCATTTGCACGGCCATGAGAACCACACATGCTTGGGTTCCACACACGAAATCAAGGCAAGTAGCAATCTTCTGTCCTTGGCTTTAGTAAGGTCTTGCCCGTATTTCAAACCAAGTTTGATTGAATTACAGCCGGATCTGTCATGATACAACTTAGCTAATGGCGCCTTCCCTGTGAACACTTCTATCATTCCCACCTTCTGGCTTAAGGCTGGCGCTTGGGGTCCTAGCCACTGGGCAAGCTCAGAGATTGTTTCCTGGGGGTGTTTCACAGCTCTTGAAACCTTCAAGTTTATCGGAAGGGCCTTAACCATGTTCACTTCTTCAAGCAGCAACTGCTTAGTTGAATTTCTGAGGTTCTGAAAGTCTAGTTGTGCCCAATCTACTTCTTCATATAGGGCTTCAATAGCAGTAGTTGCTTCTGGCGTTTCGTTATCGCACATCAGGCTTTCAGGGAATTCCTCAGAAGGGCAACAGAAACAGGTTTCTGCTGTGTGTTGTTCACTTGGCAGTGCGGGCTCTTTATAGCTGGCTACCGGGCGGATCAAAAGCAAGGCCAGATCTACAGGCTGAACCTCTCGTCTCGCCATGCCTGCGGTACGGTGTGTCCACAAGATGGGGCTTAGGGTACCATGTTTGTCAAGGCTCAAGATGCAACACTGCACGTCTGTGGTGGCACACAAATTGGGCACTCGCTCTTTGCGGGGCTTGTATGCAGTGAAGGCATGCGACACATGCTTTGCAACTTCTTGGCCGACAAGAACGCCTAGCTCATCCCGGTGATCTTCAACAAGGATGATCCCATTTTTGGTGGATTTTACCAAGGCTTGGAAGGCACGTTTCTGATCACACTTGGTGGCAGGTTTGACTTTGGCCCGTCCTGCCTGCACCTCTTCGGCCGTAGGTTCACGTTGCTTGAAGGCAGTGAATCCTCTCCGAGCCGATCCAGGGGTGCTTCTCTTACTTTCTGATGGTGTCCAGGAGTCCCGATGGGTTTGAGCTTGCTCCTCGGGCTCCACAATCTTCTCGTCCGACGGCTCCACGTAGGGCTCGTAGTTGCTATCGTCCATGACCAGAGTCTCGCCTTCACGATGGTTCTGGCGAGGATCACGTCCTGGCTGCCAACTCTGATCCAAGCCTTCATCCAAGAGCGGCATCATCAAATGCCCGTTGGCTGCTTGTTGAAGTGGCACCCGGATCATCCCATGCTTCTTGCTGGTGATGGTGAGGTTGCCCATGTCCAAGGTGGCCTCCATGCCCTGCAACACTTTACGAGACAGCAGGAACGGGGTTTTACCTGGGATCACGTAGGTGGTGATGTAGCCCCACAATGACCCAAGCTTCACCAGCCACTTGAGGCCTTTTGTGGCTCTCTCCGTGTGGCCGTTGAATCCCTTCAGCTCGACTGGAGGCAGACTGACCTCCTGTGGAGCTGGCACTTGCTGACTGATGAAGTGCTTGGTCAGGGCCTCGACGGTGTCCTCTCCAACCACACTGGAAGTGCATCCCGTGTCGATGATGGCACGGCCGATCGGGATCGAGTTGAGCAGCACCTCCATCTCGTCGGTATTCACCATGTAGTTGAACTCGGTGATGAAGGACTCGCCGGCGAGGTGGGCCTCTTCCTTCCGGACAGGCTTCCGGTCAGCGCCTTTCTTTCCTGCGCCTTTTGCCGGTTTCTTGTCGTACTTGAAGACTGGCTTGGCAGACCCATGTGACGGACCGCTGGGATCGCTCTCCTGAAGTGCGACCACCGGCAAGTAGGGCTGCCTAGCTCGCTTGATCTCGCGGACCTTCTTCTTCGACTCCTTGTAGGTCCTGTAGCTCTTCTTGAACTCCTTCTTCGCCCTCTGCTGGACTGCGTAGATCTCGGCCAGCTCTTCTTGCTCCTCGGGGTCCTCCTCGGGGTCGTACTCATCCTGGTAGACCGCATTGACCTCTTCGTCGGAGTCCTCGAAGTCGGGCTCGATGAGTTCGCTAGAGTCGTCGCCGTACTCCATCGCGTAGACCTCCCGCTTGCCCTTGTGGGGCAGCTGTGGACGTTGCTCCGGGCGGCGATCTTCCATGTCTGATGCGCGCATGATGCGCTCCACATCCTGAAACCTGGATGAACCTCCCGTAGCCCGGATGACCTGAGCGCGCTGCTCCCGACTGAGGCCAAACTTCCGCATGAACAGGTGCCCAAGCACTGATTGCGGGAACACTGGCCTGGGGCGCATAGTAGATCTCTCCAACGTCCCCAACAGTCGCTGCATTCGCGTATCGTCCTTCGCCTCCTTGGGGTCCACCTCATCTTCTTCTCGAGGTCGTCGAACACCACGACCTGAGCTCCGTGTGGATCCGGCAGCAGTACCGGCTCCATCAGCACGATGACTACGGTGGCTCCCGCTTCGCACAGAACCTTCTCGTTCTCCAGGGCTCGCCGAAGGAACCGATGCAGTGTCTGCGGCAGCAGCTGCATCAGGAGTTTCACTTCGGGATCCATCCTCTCCAGATTCCTCCACGCTGGAGTCGTCGAGGGGGTTGGCCTCCTCGTCGACCTTCTTTCGCCTCTTCCGCCTAGAGGTCTCCCGCTCCTGGGCTATGAGCGATTGTACTCTGCTGAGCTGGGTCTTGAACCTCGAGGCGAACGCTGTAGCGCCTTCGTTGTTGCGCTTCTTGAGGAGGAACATGAACTCATCTATCGCCTCGTGTAATTCCGTCTCTGGCAGATACTTGTAGTGCTCGTCCAGGGCCTTCAGCACTCGAAGCCAACCTTCTGTGCTCCGCAACGTTGACACCGTGAGGTGCTCCGTTGCCCGCCAGGCTTCTCCATGCAGACGCTGCAGAAGCCTAGGTCCAGCCAGATGCTGGATCTTGTCCTCCAAGCCGGCCACTCCAAGAATGACCTTCCGCCTGAAGTCCCGATAGCCGGAGGGTCGGCCATCAAAGCTCAGCTCCCTGAAAGGGTCCCGGGCTTCCATACTGCTGTGACCAGCAGCCTACCGCTTTCGCGGTCCTGAGCAGTGCAAACTGCGTGATGGGCTCAATCAGCAGGATCGTGTCCTGCTCCGCTACCATGAAGAACCGTAGGCGCAACGCACCTCCATTGGTTTTCTCCTTAGCCTTCGATGGCGGTCAAGGGGCCCCTAGTGTACAGCCAGTGGCAGCGGTGAGCACATCTCATGATGCACCATGCTGCATTTTCACACATAGCCCCCCCGGGCATTCCATGAAAAAACAGCAGCAACTCACATATAAAAATGGGGAAACAAAACCAATAACGCCGAGGGGGAAAAAAGCAAAAAACAAAAAAACGCCTCATGGATCCGGAGAAAGGGGCCTCGCGCCTTGCGACTCGGGACCCGAGTCGACTCGGTTTCGTCGCAGGGCGTGAAGAAGGAGAACTTCCAAAGGCTGAAAGTTCAGATCGGCGTGGCCCGCGAGAAGGTCAAGGCCCGGGCGTTTTGACCCCCCAAAATGGGCGGCTCTTGGTTTTCAGGCCCAAAAATGGCGCCACAGTTTTCCTGTTGGCTTCCCCAACCCAACCCAAAGGAGAAGATACATCCAAAATGGAAAATGCTTCCTTCAAGTTTCCCGTGGAGCAAAGCAAACAGAGAAACCCCGTGAACACGTATGTTCATTTCAATCTGTGCTTCTTGGGCCGATGGGTGAGCTTCCTTTTGGGGTAAATATAGAAAGGCCTGGTCGATGCTGCCTTAGAGACAAGGGAGACAAGGGAGATGCCAGGTTTCGGTTTTGGGATCTCAAAATGGGGGGGGGCAGAGATGGATATGCACGGTTGTTTTCCGCATAAAGGGACCTGTGACAACAGGTTTAGGTGGACCGACCTCTCCCAAGATTGGGTGAACTCCCCCGCAAGAGCGGGCTGTTGCAAACCAAGCTTATAGGTCCGGACTCATTGTCGTTAGGGTACTGGCTCAAAGGGAAAACCAAAACAACACCATGATGAAAGAGCTGAGTTTTGGCATGAGTTTGGCTGAGCACAAGTTCCAAGGTCGAAGGTAAGAACAACCCCGACAGCAGCTGGACCAGTTGCCCGATGAGTGAGGCATTGCAATCTCGAAGTGGTTCACACTTCGAAGAAGCAAATTGTGTTTGTTCGAGTGCACCCTGGTCGAGGACGGCGGTTTGGTGGATTCCACCAAGTACTCGAAATCCAGGAACGATTGTCGACCCCCGCAAATCAACTTTGTTTTTGAGCACAACCCCTGTGACTAGCATCAACAATGCGTATTTTCATCCGTTTATGCCGAAGGGGTCACTGGACTGTTTCTTCTTCCGGTTCAGGACCTTCAGCGAAGGAAGCTGCGTGAGGAGCACGAGAAGGAGGTCGCAGCGATGAAGGAGCGAGCTATGGGAGGTTTGTGTGTGGTACATACTGTGGCTTTTAAGCGTTTTGGGAAGACCATATTAGTGGCAAACAAACGGTAAGGAATTTGTTTTGCCAGTCCACGCAGGAAGTGAGCAACATCCACTTCGCGCCACTTATGGATGAAACCCGACTTGAATACTGGGATACGCCTTCATCTGGTGCGAAATGGTTTTTGTCCATGATGCGCAGTACCAGAGGTCCCAAAATACGTGTATGGTTTTTGCTGGATGCGTCTCTGAGTTCAGGTGCCCTTTCTGCCCGAAGCAAAGCTCCCTTACCTCTTAGCTGTTTGCATCATGATACAACCATCGCTCTTTTGAACCAGCCTTGGGTTCATAGACTCGGGTTTAACCCTCAAAGTTCAGATCCCTGAAAAGAATGGGGACGTCAGCTTTGGGTTGTGGGAGGCCTTTTTGATTCAGAGCCTTTGGACAAAGGGAAGTCCGTTTTCCACGGCTTGCCTGCAATGGCTTTGCTCGCAAGCGGACTGTGAATGAGTATACAACATGATGTGGTTTTCAATGCTCAGGCTTGGCAGGTTTCCGGTTCTGATCCTTGCAACCAACGGCAACAAGTTGTTGCCAGAAATTTTTGGCTCGGCTTGCGGCTTGCGGCTTGCGGCTTGCGGGGCCCCGACTGAGTCGGAGCCTTTCCCTCGAACCATTCCCTTGCATCGGAGCAAGCCTCCTCGCTTTCAGGAGTCACGTATCTTTGTGACTGCTTGAACATCAGGAGTCGCTTTAACTTGAGTTTCCATATGTGGGGATTTAAGGAGGACATAGGGAACCCTGTTTCCGACTCCTTCCAGACTCAGACCAAGCGTTGAGTCAGTTTGTTGTTCTTTGCAACCGTGTGATCCTCTTTCAAGATATTGTTTACCTTTCAAAAAGTTGCTCTTTTCCCCACTCACTAGCGAAGTGCAAAACTTTGCGGAAGCTCCTCTGTTGCAGGGTAAAGCACCACCCCTTGTTTGACCACCATTTCCGTTGTGGTTGGTACGTTCAACTCCGCAAATGGTTATGTGCCAAATTAAGTGGACCCCCATACATCGTGGGTTTACATGTGGTTCACTGCCAATCCAATCTTAGTTTAGTTGGGTAATCTCGCAAACCACTTGACAGTCCCAGGTTTTTCGGCACGGGTCCCTGTAGCGGTCAGGAAGCTCTGACAGAGAAGGCCAACGTCCGGGAAGGAGGTCGCCTTTGACTGGAAGTTGGTCCAAAGTATGGCTCAAAATTGAAGAGCTGGGGTTACGCGGGTTTTAGTCTTTGGTTCCATTTACCAAGGTGCCATTTTGGTACCACTTTTTTGAGCCACAGCCAACAAGGTTGTTTTTCGGTGTGTCGACGTTTTAGAGGTTTTCTTGGTGGGTTTTGAGTTTTGCGGCTTGGCTAAAAAAGACACGCCCAGGAAATTCGACTTTGGTGGAAGGGGTGCCTGATGTGTACTTGGAACCGGTGCGACACTGGGCCAGGTTTGGCGTGTAATCAATCTTGAATCCGTTTGACTGACGGCATTGATTTCCCTACTTGACGACGGATTACGGCTTAGGATTTGGGATCCCCCGTCCATTTTTAAACAGCTTGAATCTGCGAGTTTTCCAGACGGGAGGTCCTTTGGAACCACCACCCCGCGGATAAACCAAAGACCATAGGCGGCCTAAAAGTCATGCCCGTGTTGGCCCGAGGCGTTTCTTGGGGCAATGAGGGTGACAGGTTGAACAAGGCCGTGGGGCTCCGATATCTTTTGGGTTTGCCTCCTTTGGGTGCAAACGCCATCCTGATGGGTCCCGGCCTGTTTTCGCCTGTCGAAAGTCCACGGAGATATCGCGCGGGGGATTGCCAACCGTTGGATTTGAAGGCGGCCCTTTGCCATTTGTTTTGTCAGATTGTACGATTCTCGACACCGTGCTTTTTCGAGCAAAGATATTACAAGTCTTTCCAACGCAATGGGCAAAGTATCAAGACTTTGTGGGTCAGGCTTGCACCCGAAGATTCGGATGATGTCAGCTCATCTCAATCATGAGCTCACCCTTCGCAACGGCATCCCGCAAATGTCCTTGGTCAAATGCAGGAAGTTGACTCATAGAAGGGCTACATTGCCCTTCCCGTTTTCATCAACGGAGGCTTCAGGAACATGCTTCCTAGATGCCTGGAATTTGGACGGTGACCTGTTTTTTTTGTAAGGCAGCCGAGCCATCATGCATGTTCCAGGGTCAAACCAAGCCATCCCCCAGCCTGCTCAAGGCAGGATCGTCAATATATGGATGTGTCTTTCTGTAGGGGACCCCAAAATAGTGGTGCCGCTTAAAACGGCAGAAAAGTGGTACCGACAAAGCAAGACACACCCACACTACCCCTGTAGGGGTGCTACCTGTGTTCTTTGTCGATGGGTATTCCCTTGTACGTTCAACACTATCAGGTCACAAGTCGGTAGGTGGCCGTTGCCAGTTTTATGCTTCGAGCCCTTTCAACTATGGTCAGGATTGCTTGCAAGATGTCCAAACCTGGGCAGGAACTCGGTTTGGCCTTCCTTCTGTTTTCCTCCACAGGCTATGTTTTGTGCCGATGGGACCTGGTCCAAATAGGTGAGTATTGTTGCAGAAAAACTGTGTGTGTGTGAAGAGGCCACGTTTGAGATTGGCGAGCTCACTTGTCCAAAGCGAAGCAACAACAGCCTTTTGGCGACTTGAGGTTTCCTGTTTCGGTCCATGTTTGGTTAAGGGTTCAAAAGAACAGTATGTCATTCCCAGGTCATTTGGGCAGGTGAGTGAGATGGAAACCAAACAGACACAGAAGCCTCCTCCCACTTAGAGACAAGCCAAGCGTGCAGGCGATTTGTGATTCTCCATCTCGTTGGTTTGAAGGTGTGAACACTGGCCTTACCGACTCTGTGTATCGCGGGACATGATTCATGATTTGTCGTGCACAATTTCTATACATGTAGGAACATGGGGATACCACTATGTAGGAAATGAATTGTTATGTACCCACCTAAGTAAGGCATATTGCAGCGTGTTTTTTTGGGGGAAGACCTGATTTGCTATGTCCCACCTTGCAACCAATCATTCCTATAGTTGTGGTTTACCAATATATCGGGGCATGCCATTTGCTACGACCCAAAAGCATGCTCAGGTGTCTTCTCCACCGGTGCGGATGCTGTAATACATATATATATATATATGTACGTATCACTTCTGTAAAAGGATTTCGGCATATTTCCCTACGAGTGTTTGTTCAACCTCCACACCTAATTTCACCTGCTGACTGTATAGGTCCACATATTTGTGCTGCTGTTGCTTGGAGATGTCTATTCAAAATTTGAATACTTCACCTGCCCATGGGTTTGCACTGACCTTACGGCCTTTCCATCGAAGCAGATAGCCACCTGGTGCCGTTGAACGGGCCATCCGACGCAAGGTGGAGGCTCTGCTTCAGAGGGTGCAGAAGGCAGAGGAGTCGCTCCAGAAGGCAGACGAGTCGCCTCCAGGGGGGCAGGGCTTTGAAGGTCCAGTAGACTTTTGGCACGCAGGAAGTGAGATGAAGATCCCCTTCCAGTTGTCATGAAATACTGAACCAGCCTGCGTGAAAAAATGAGTTACGACTGGCAGGATTTGCGTTGGTCATTTTACAATGCATCTAATGAGCAAATCATCAAAATGCCTTTTCATCAACTGATCTTCTCTGTATGGGTTTCGTGCAATCGGCTCGCAGCAAGCTCAGGCTCAGTTTGCAAACAGGTTGGGCGACTGCGAAATGGGGTTTGGAGTTGAGCGGAGTCAGTTGGAAGTCATCTAATCGGGGTTGTTAAATCTTTGAGGATGAAGGGGCGGGTATTTCCGAAGTCTTGGATTCCCTCTAAAGTGGGGAGACCCCCTATACAATCAAGAAGCCATAAACAAAAGGTTGAGGGCAGACTTGGGGCAAGGGTTTCACCTTTCTGAGAATTGCATAGGCCTCAAATGGTTTGCTCATTGGCTCTGAGCTGAGCTTACTTCGGGTTGGGTGGTGCCTTTCTTGGAAATGGCCAGTCCCTTTCTCAATTGAGCCCACGATCGAGGGATGCTCCAGTCAACCCCGTGCCCCGCCCTTTGTGATGTACCCATTGCGCCCGCTTTATGTATCCATGATTGATCCCGGATTTAACATACCAGAACTTTTTTGATTTGGTGTGTTTCCCTCAGTCCGGATCCCCTCCAAAAAGAGGTGCGCTGCGACGTAAATCCGCTTTCCGCGAACCCCCGATTTCCCTCTACTTGCGGGCCCCTTGGAACGTCGGACCCATGGTGTCTCTCGGCTAAAAACCGGCGGCGTAGGTGGAGGAGGAGGCGAAGGTCTTCAAACAGGCCAAGCTCCCGCGTTTTGAAGGGAAGCCAAAGCCCAAAATCCAACTTGCGCTCCCAGAAAGACGGTACTTAATGTTGACCCAGGATTAATGAACCCGTCCCAGTATTAGGGGGGTGTGCCCTCCAACAGTGATGAATCCCCACTAAAAGGGGAGACCCGCCTATTAATCAACCAGGGGTTTGTTAATCCGGGGTTAGCATTATATATTTGTTGTGGTTTGTAAACATTAGTTGCTCGGGTTTTAGAGTTTGTGGTGCTCTGAGATAGTTCCCAATTTCATTGGTTGGGAATCATTCCCCGTTGCTGTGGGTGGCATGTTGGGAGCATGTCCCAGACCCTGTGGTCTGGGCATGTAAAAAGTAGCCGAGGCAAGGCGTTTGCTCTTCCTCTAAGTGCATAGGAAACAACACGGGCACTTTTTTTTTGGCGGGGACCCTAGTGTTTGTTTGTTTGAATGCAAACCAAAAGAAAAGCCGCCGTTTTTAAGGGTCCCCGCAAAAAATCCGCCCAACTCGATGTTTCACCACTGGTGTTAGCTTGTGGTGCTTTGATGGCTGGAACCAGTATCCATATTCAGTTTGGGCTGGGACTCTTCCCCGAGCCTTTCCCGCGTTTTGAATAAACATCGCATGGGTCTGAATCGATGGTAACCCACCAAAATGGTGTTGTTAGAGTATTCGAGATGATGTCCACCGCAACAGCTCCCGACTGAGATTCAGATGAGCCAATAGGACAAAGGCTTACACTAATCGTAGGCGTGAAGATCTAGCGTGGAACTGCCACAGTCACGGAGTTTTCCTTTCACAAGGGACTTTTGCAACCTTTGTATCTTCCTGACCGTTGGCCTGTAGGTCCATTTGGAAGCACGCAATTCCCAATCGAATCATGGTCCCGAAAATCAACGCCATGGTGACACCTGAACCCCTCAAACTTGCCGTAAATGATATTGCTCAAAATTATGGCGGCATGGGATTTCTCTCTTCTAAAGGTAGCTTGACGGTCCAGGCTTCTTCCATGGAAAATGGACTCCCTTTCTTCAAGGAATCGCAGGGCTGTGAATTAGCTGCCGTGCACAGTGTTTCTGATTAGTGTTTGAAAACCTTGGTCAAGGACCCAGGTGTTATTTTCTGCGTTGATGTGCCAAGCATACGCGGAATCCAAGTGGTGTCGTGGTCGACAAAGTTTTGCCCCACTAGATGTTGCGGACTTGATTGCAAAACGTGTTAATCGGACCCTCGATCGCTGGCGAAGCCGTGTCTATCTTTTGTAGGCACTCCTCTGGTGCTTGGTCACAAGGGGAACAATATATGGGGCTCATAGTGAGGTCAAAAAAGAAGAGCTCGAAACGACATCACCAATTTCAGGTGCTTATCATATTGGTAGCACCTCGCCTTGGTGGAACGGCTGAAACGACTCTTCGGGCTCTGAATCTGTCCATGATCTCACTATATTTCATCCTGTGTTGAACGGGAGCTCCGAATGAAACAACATTTTGCATTCACTCCAAGCGCAACAGCTACAAAACAGAAATCAAAGGACGACAGAGAATGCCCGAACAAAAGGCACAAACAGCCAACTCCAAGACAAGAAGCTGGCCACCCGCACAAAAGAAATCGCACCTGAAAACAAAGGACAACAACACAACGTGCAGCCTGCACAACAAAAGATATCACACCCATGTGAAGCACCGTCAACATTACTTCTGTTGAGTTTAGTATAGGGGACTCTCAACAAAAATAGCGAAACGGCCGCAAGTAAGTGATTTCGACCGTGGCTCATGTGCCAAAAGTAAACAAGCACGGGTAACATTATATACTCCAAGCTGTCCGTTCGAGGGCAAGGACATGAAGTCACTGGAGATGGTGAAGCTTGCGGACGACCTGGATGTGCAGATTAAGGCCGGAGGCAACCCTTTGGTCTTTGTTGTAAGTGGATTGAACTAGTCGGAATACCAGTAAACATGATGTATATGAACAACGACCAACAGCCGTTGTTGTTTGCGCTGCGGGTTTCCTGGAGAGTCCAGCCACTGTAATTCGGCCAGCTTGTCAGTGGTCAGCCTTTGTTACAATCAACTTGCACAGGCCCTTTCCTTGGTCACACAGTCTTAGTCCCGTCGTAGTGAGGATCATGCAGCCCTTCATTTTGAGCCCAGGACATGAACAAATCCTGGGGTCCGATGGGTTTTCCAATGTGAACATGACAGCTGTTTGTGGCATTGGGTGCATGTTGAAAGCCAGTTTGATTCCGAAAGTTGCAGAATGTTGCAGATTTGCAGATTCCTTATTTCTTCAGATCAATGAACTATTGTTTGTGCAGATGTCCGCTTTTGGTTCATCCAGATGTGCAATTCGGCATGTGCTGAGATCCCGCGAGCCACAAAGCCGATTTCTGGTCACGAATGCTCATGAACGAGCTCCGTAGCATGATCCCACCCTTCATGACGTGAGTCCTTTAGTCCGGGCGGGTGATTTTTTCGACAAGTGCAGATCTCTTCTTTCGAGAAGCTCGGTTGCCCCTTCCCTGGGCCCCGTCTCGAGGCTGAGAGGGAAAGCCTTGAAGCGCTGAAGAAGGACATCGCCGGCGTGAGGGAGGCAAAGCAGCGGTCGCCTGCGTGAAGGTTGGGCGCTAGATGGCCTGTGTCTTCTTTTTGAGGGTCCTGTTTTGTTTGGTTTCAAAGGGAAACCAGCAGGAACACCACTTTTTTTTTTTTGGGGGGGGGGTGCATAAATCTTGAGTTGCACCAAGGAAAACAACGAAGCTTGCTATTTGTTGATCAAGGACTCTGCAAGAGTCAGTTAGCTGGACTGAACCGGATATCCCTCTTGAATGGGTCCATCCAGACTGAATGTTTCTTATTTAAAATCTGGGGCTTCAATAACCTGTATGTATAAATGTGTTGTACCCTTGCAAAAACAACTTGCTTTTGACCACATTGTGTTTTCTGACAAGACATCGTGCCACTCCTCCTGAAGTGATACCTGCCGGAGGCCTTTCGATTCCTAAAGCCCGGTGCTCTCGCATGGTACAGGGCTCCAGCAGGTTTTGTCGGCGTTTGATGGATGTTGCAACTTTGTGGAGGGCCCCCGCAGCAAACCCGTGGAAAACCCATACTCGTACCTGCTTTTGCAACATTGTGTTTCAGGAAAACGTTGTGTTTAGCAACCCTCAGCCAAACCGTGCAAAGCCCGTGGTAACCCGTGGTAAACTGTTTTTTTTTTTTTTTTTTTTTTTTTTTTCGCATGGATTTTGCAGGGTGCGCCACCTTGCCCAATGAGGTTGTGTTGCCCTTTGTGGCAATGGCGGATCCACGGGTTTGAACCGAAGCTCCGGGCAAAACTGCCTTCGCCGCTTAGGGGAATTTTAGGATGTTGTTGGAGGCTACATTGGTTCACTGGACAATTGACGAACTGAACACTCTGTGAACTGCCCACGGTCGAGGGCTTGCAGAAACATCTTATATTTCTCACAATTGAAAACATTGTATTTCCCACAACATCACCGTGTTTTTTTCTTGCGCATGACATGTTTATCGATTTTTGAGGCTCCTGGTAGACCCAAACTGGTCGGATTGCTTCTGAATTCACGGAAAACAAAAGAGAGAGTATATACCCACTCATCCCACTCCAAAACCGACGATCCACCCGAAAAGCCCCTCTTGAGTCAAGAATCGAAGGGAAGCTCCCTTTTGTTCGTGTAGAAAGAATTTTGCATGACACTTTCCGTGGCTTGTTTCGAGGGAAATCCGGCAAGCTAATTTGTTCCCAGATTCGGAGCAAGCAACAGAGCGTCAAAAATGGGAATCAATGTCTGGGTCTTGGGGAAATGAACCTGGGAATTTCTTCCAAAACCGCAAGGGGTGGTTCTTTCATGTTCCTTCCCTGTGAACCGGGCGATGTGTTCTAACGCCAGGGCGTTGACGCGGAAATCCTCTCCTGGTTCACTGCGCAGGCCGCCCGAGCTTTCTGGAATCTCAGCTAATCAGCGGACTTCGCCAGCAAACCAACCAAGTAAACCACCCTTTTCAGGGGCGTTCAAGGAAACCAACAAGGAATCCCCCCTGACATGTTCCCTTTTTGTTGGGATTTCTTGCTACACTGTGCTTCAACCACGAATTCCGGTTTTCTGCCAGGGTCATTGGGCTACAGGATTCTCCAACTTGTTTCCCTACAAGCTTCTCATGAACGGCATCCTCGGTGCCTTGCGTTTCAGGTCCGGGTTGATTACCAGGTTTCCCTTGTTCACCTTGCAATGTTCAACATATCCACTGTACCCTTTTTCCAGCAGACACGGAAGTGGATAGGACTGCGTTGCAAGCCCACCATCCTCTTGCAAACGCTCCTTGTTCCCTACATGATTGTTCGAAATAACGTGAGTGCAACCATCCTAGCATTTTGCTGGGCTTTCGCCAGACTGGTGACAACAGAGGTAGCCCTTGGCTCAGAAAGTGACAAACGGGTTTGATCTCCACAGGCATGGTTGTGGATGATTACCCTCCTTTCCACTGATATGGAACCTGACTGAGGGGTCTTGGAAGATCTTGTTCCTTGAAAAGGGACTCTCTGGTGGGTTTCATGGCGAGGTAGACAGCAGGGTATGTTGGATCTCACAGTTGTTAAACATGTGACGAGTTGGACTTCTTTCCCATGGGTACACCACTGTAGTCCAGGTGTTGAATCTGTCACGAGTTGGACTTTTTCACCATGGGTAGGCCACTTTAGTCCCGGTGTTGAAATTGTCACAAATTAGACGTCTTTACCATGGGCAGGCCACTTTAGTCCCGGTGTTGATTGCGACGAGTTGGACTTGGGTGACCAGTTTGGCCGATTGTGTGTCTTAAAGTGGGAGGGGCCCTAACAAAATACTGCAGTTTCCTTTTCTGTCTCCCTTGAATCCCTTGAAGCCAAAAAAGTCGAGCCACCAACGCCAGAAACGACGAGCCACCTCCGCCCGCGGTCGGCGGGACCGCGAGGCGCGGCCCGTGGAGACGAAGTTCAAGTTCCTGGAGCCGCGTCTCAGTGCCCTCACCACCGGCTCTGCCAGGCCGGAACCCCCCGTCGCAAACAGGGCACATTGGCTGCGAGCGCGGCAGGGACCCCAAAATCGTGGGCTTCCTGCTGGTTTCCCTTTAAAAGGACCCTAAAAAAGGGTTACCATCAAAAAAGCGCCCTAAAGATCCCTGAAGGGTTGTTTTGTTTGGGGGACCCCCAAAATGGTGGTGGTTCCTTTTGGTGACTTTTTCAAACAACCTACAAAAGGGGTATCCTCAACCAAACACACCCAATTTAACATGGAAACAACAGATGGGGGTGCCACAAGAAATAATCTGATCCTGCAGATGGGTGGGATGTTTGGTCCATGTTAAAGTGCAAGGGAACAATGTTTTGGTGATTTTCCCAGTCAAAGAACTGGTGGATGAATGGCTAGTTATTTGTTCCAGACCCATTTTACGACCAGAGACTCACCGACGAATGCTGCACCAAGTGCTGTCCTCTCAGCTTCTAGACAACTCCAAGGAGTGGCTTTTGTAAGAGTGGACATTTTGCAGGAACTGTACTTTTTAATTCAGGGTCACCCAGACCTCCAGTGCGGATGTCCTTTTCAACTTGTTTTGTTGGGCGGGGGACGGGGCATTCTCGCCCGCAGTTTCGACGGCCAGCCGTCCGCGCCCGGTCTCTGTGAGGTTCCGGGAGTCTGCGAAGGGCAAGAGCCGACTGGAGCTTCAGCAGATCGAGCAGAGTGCGGAGGCCATGCTCAGGCGTCGCGAGGGTTGGGCAGCGGAAAGGACGTTGGAGATGAAAACAAGAGTCGGGATCCCAATTTTGTAAATGTAAGGTTCCTTTACGTAAAGTTTACGTCCAGTTGCCCTGGTTGTTTTTTTAGGGTCTTCTCCAAAGATATGTTATAGTCCAGGAAAAAAAAACTGAGTGAGAACATACCTTCCGGGTACCCCAGATGAGCCAAGAGTCGATGTTGTGGGAGGCCTTCTTGTCCAATTCCGGAAAAGGGCAAGTTCGATGTTTCTCCCCGGAATCTCCATCAGGCACATGTGGGCCTATGAAACGACGAAGAAGCCCTACACGCGTGTTGGTGTGATAGTGATGATGAAGGTTCCGTTCACTGGTGTTTATTTCTTGCTTCAGGTTGATTTGCAATGTACTCACGCAAACTTCTGGGCTGAGTCATTTTGCTGAGTGTCTTGAGTGCAAGGCCGAGTTGTTTCGGTGTTTGTTTTGAATTGTCCTTTGTCGTATTTCTGTGTTTGTTTCTGCTTGTTTTAAATTTTGACTGTGTTTTCAAAAGTTCTGGGCCAAGTCAGAACGAGGCATGTGCAAGAGAGCCCCCTTCATTTTGTGCCACATTAGGCAGTTCCCGAAGTGATCTCTTCACCAGCTCAGACAATATAACTTTGTAGCTATTCCAATCAAATGATAATTCAATTAATGGGAAGGCCATTGAAAGGAAAAGTATACATATATGTATGTGTGTGTGCGCATATGTATAATATATATATATATATATATGTATTATGTATATATATATATATATATCAGACGTACATATGCACATGTTTCTTTCGATATGTTCAGGGTGTCAAATATCAAAGACCAAGCCATAGCTTTCTGGAACCGCGCCAGGTGGCACCAGAAAGCCAAGTCCTTGACGCCCGATGAGGTGGCCGACGCCTTCGGCGGGGATGCCGTGACCGAGGCGAGGGGCGTCAAATATTGCTGGGTTCTGCTCAAAGACCTGATTTCGACTACATACTGTGGATGAACAAACTCCGGTACCACTTTGAAACCATGAGAAACCATAATCCATTAGAAACCATTGCTTTTTTGTTTATTTTTAAATATGTCCACCCATTTAGAGAAACCATTTTAAACAGAATATCAACCCATGAACTGATTTTGGCCCATATTTGGCTCTGGGGTACACACAAAATACCATTCGGATTCTGCTTCATACTGTGGATGGACGAAATCCGTTCGCACCAATTTGATTCAGCATGGGAAGGCATTGTTTGCTGTTGTTGTTGTTGTTTCTTTTTTCACAGGGGAGCCATCATTGCAGGATTTCTTTGGTGGTGCAGGATTTCGTCCATCCACAGCATCCCAAATGGTATTTTCTGTGTACCCCAGAGCCAGATGTGGGCCAATATCAGTTCACGGGTTGATATTATGTTTAACATGGTTTCGCTAAATGGGTTGACACCCAAAAAATGGTTCACCTTGTGAAAAAGTGGTTCACTCGTTTGTTCATTCCACTTATTAAGTGAGTGTTTGGAGCCATAGCGGAACGCCTTCAATCCCCTGTTTAGTTTTAAGCGTCCTCCGTTGTGTTTGAAGCCCTTCTTTGGTGTCTCTATTGAATTTGTGTTACGCTTTAGGGTGTGCAATGAAATATCGTGTTTTTGGTTGGAGGGCGACAGCTAGCAATTTGCGTGATATGGTCCAAAGAATCCCAAGGGTGGAGGAGGGTCAGTGTGACCGCCATAAATATGAACAGCCAGAATGGTATTATACACAGACGTGCGTGGCTGTGGATCTGTGTTTGTGTGTGGGAGGATGGGGGGATGGGTGGCTGTAGGAGTGAGTCAGTCAGTCAGTCAGTCGGTCAGTGAGTCAGTGAGTCAGTGAGTCAGTGAGTCAGTGAGTCAGTGAGTCAGTGAGTCAGTGAGTCAGTGAGTCAGTGAGTCAGTGAGTCAGTGAGTCAGTGAGTCAGTGAGTCAGTGAGTCAGTGAGTGAGTGAGTGAGTGAGGAAGCGGGGAGGGAGGGAGGGAGGGAGGGAGGGAGGGAGGGAGGGAGGGAGGCAGGCAGGCAGGCAGGCAGGCAGGGAGGGAGGGAGGGAGGGAGGGAGGGAGGGAGGGAGGGAGGGAGGGGATGGAGAGAGCGAGTGTGGATAATGAGAGTGTCACCCTCCTTTTTGCACAACCATTTGGGCAAATGTTTAATCCTGTCTTTCTATTCATAAAGGTCCCTGTAAGCACAAGCCATTTTTTTCGAAGTTCCAATCTCCATTGCTAACGTTTGACCAGCCAATGTGAACCAACACTACACTCGTGACAAGCCCAACTCCATTCGTTCTGGGGGACCCTATAGAACAATTGCCAGGCTGGCGCCGTTGGGGGGCACCTCATTTGGGCAAGCGCCGATTTGAAGCTGTGAGATGGCCATGGAATCCTTCTTGGGAAATTGAGTCAACCGAGGGCTTTCGAGATAACCATAGCCGAAGGAGTTGCAACGGCACATTTGCCTCTTTGTCGGAAGAAGATTCCTTGCAGGAGGCAATCCCATGTCAGCACTTCGGAGGTCCTCCAGAGAAGCCTGCCATGTTCATGTTGTCAGGGACGAAGCTGTCATCCGGAGGTTAGTCACTTTTGGGCGGCCTTTCGGGGTTTTGGGCGCCAGGCGGCCTTCCTAGAGTTCTTCTTGAGCTGCGAGAAGGCGAGTTACCAAAACTGTTTTCGTGCGACGTCGATGCACATATTATCCTATGCTCTATGACTCGATGTCATCAAGTTTTGACATAATTATTCTGCGACGAAGTTGGTTAAAGTAAGCCACATTTCCAAGGGATTTGGAGAAAGCTGGGTGGGCGAGGTTCTCCGAGACGTACCCGTTTGCAGGTTTGAAAGGTCAGCGACTCTTGGCCACAGGAACCAGTGCCCACGCCCGACCCGCACCTTTCGAATAGGTCAGCCCGAGTAGCGACCTCAAGTTATAAAAGTGCTATCCTTGACACCTCCCTGAAAAGCTTGGAAAGAAGACAAAAAAAGACGAAGCAAAACAAGCCTTCAAATTTACGCAGCTCTAGCTTTTGCTACCCCTGCATCACCATCACAATTAGGTGTCAGGAAGGTGTGGGCTATTTTCCTGGTGAAAAGTGTCCACTTCCATTGTTAAGAGTGTTTGCCTTTACCAACAAAGAAGAACCTGCACCCCCGAGCTACCCAAACACATTTGGTGTTGCAACCCAAAACATGTTAGTGGTTTCCATTTGTTAGGGATAGTTTGAGGGTCCAAGAAGCTCGATCCAACTTAGTCCAAAGAAGAACCCGTCGTTCCAAGCTGCGCTTCATGCTTGTTGGTTGGGACCACTCCACTCAGGAAGTGGGCATGAAGCGTCGGAAGGGCAGCCGCAGTGCTCCCTCCCCCGAAGCTTCCAAGAGCCCTTCAATTAGAACCACCTCTCAGGTTCCCTTGGGGAACCCTTCCCGCTCTCGACCCAAGGGGATCCCTGTGTCAGGGAAGGGCGAAGTCGCAGGATTTCAATTCGCAGTCAATAAACAAATGATCCTTTTGAGTTGCACCGCAAAGTGCACCCCCTTCAGCCACTGATGTTACGAGGGCAAGTTATACAAAAGTGGGCGCATGTCTCAAGGACACAAGCGTTTCTCTCCGTTCTGCGGCAAGCATACAACCACACATTTACTGACTGACTTTCTGCGTGTGAGAAAACCCTTCGAACACTGGTTGAACATCGACCTAGTTCCGTTCCATGTGCCTCCATGCGCAGAAGCCGCAGGATGAGGCCCATGGTAGCGCCGGGGCACTCGGCCGTGCGGAGGGCACCCTTAGGCTTGGAAGAGAAGACAACGAGAGAGTATCAAGTTCAAGAGAGTGTTTTATGCTGATACTCTCTCGTCTTCTTGGAAGAGTTCTTCCAACTGCTGTTTTTTGCTGTTGGAAGAGTGTGTTTGTTGTTGTTGGCTGAACTGCGCATGCGGGTATAGTCTCGTCTTGTTGATCGAACACGAAATTCGAAGTCCATTCGAAGGGCTCCTGTGCAAGCCAGCCGGAAAGTCCGCTTGGTTGCTGCCGACCGGCACACGGACAGCACCAAGTTCTCGTCTTTCCCTTGACCCAATCCCACTGTCTATTTCCCTGCCGACGGCGTTCGCAGGCTCGGCGCGCTTCAAGCGATTCAAGCTTTGACACGAGCAGCCAACCCACAGAGGGTCTCTGGGAAAAGCACACCTACTTGGCCAAGTCCCTGATTCGGAGAACGCTGGGCCCTTGCTTTTTTGGGGAGGTTCACAGTATACATGCCGAAAAGCGAATCATGTTTGTAGCTAAGATAGTTTTTTAACACCCTGATTGAGCGCCATTGGCAAATGTACAGTGATTAGGGTTCTCCAATCTTCATCCGGCGTCCTTGCATATGCATGGGCCACTTACTCTGTCGCAGATCTTTCTTACAACCTCCTTTTTAAGAGCCCCTCTTTGAGTTCCGGGTTGCCATTGGGCCAAAGTGTGTTCTTACTGCTGAGACGTATGCTTGTCAAACCCAAGCCTCGATTTTGAACTCAGCTAGAGGAAGCTCCTTGTGTCGTTTTGGTGTCACTCTTGCAGACATTGTGACTCGTAGCGCCGAGGTGCCGGAAGCAGACTTTGCAAGGCGCGAGCGACTAGAGATCAAGTGGGAATTGGAATGCTCTCCAAAGCTCAGTTGTTCAGTGGCACCCTTTTTCCCCGTTTTTTGTTGGTGGCCGCGCCACTAAAAATGGTCTTCCCCAAAAAGGGTTCACTTGTTTTCCCGGGTCACTGAACTGAGACAGGCTGCCGACCTTCCACAAGGGCCCAAAGCTGCAGGGAGGGCAGCGATTGGCTGATTCCGCTGTTCACACGGGCTCGTGGATTCATGGGGCAAAGCTGCAAGTGCCCCAAAATTTGACGATGGTTGGCGGAGGGGGGAATTGAGGGTCGGATGTACGTGATCATGGTGGGCTTTTGGCACCAAACATAGGTGTCCTTTGTGGTTGATTTGGTTGAAAAAATGAGGGCCCTAGTTTTCCCCAGTGGTTCAATCAACTACCAGGGCCATCTATTTTCCCAAAAAGGACACCTATGACACCAAAGGGAAGAACCCTCCCAAGAACCCTTCAAAGGTTCTGAACTTGCAACTGGCGAACGGGCGGAGGTAAACGGGGGCCCTGCGCTTTTCTCCCGATACCATGCCCCTTCAAGGATAGAGGTTGGTTACAGTTGGGTGAACGATAGATGGGACCAATTTGTCGTGTTATTTGGGCAAATAAAGCGGATGACTGGGATGACTACGAATACATGCCGTACTGCTGATATTCCCCTTTTCAGAAGTGCAAAGAAACAAGTTCCATCTACTTCCCCCAACAAGGAATTCTGGAAGCTCGGGACAAGTCTTGGTGAACGCAGGCTCTTCAAGCACTGGGACGAGGACAATGAAGGGACGGCCGGCAACTGAGTAAGCCAGAAGTGAGATCTGGCAGACGCCCTTGGTGGCCCTTTGTCGTGATTGTTGTTTGTGTTTCCACGTTGTTGTTTCATGCATGCAATGTATTTCCCCTTTTTTTTACCATAAGTGGTTCATGTTTGTTTCCCTTCGTGCCGCGCTTTCTCTTTCTTGATGTGTCTTCTTTGTTTTGTTTCTCTCTGCTTGGGTGGGACCGGGTCGTCAGCTGCATGGCAAGAGATTGGGTGGGCTTCTTCGTGTTACGTATGTCGACGGAATCGACTTGTTAGATCATATGGGGGGTCTTCCCTCCAAGAAAGCAAGGTGAAGGTGCCCTTTAAATTGAGACACACACACACACACACCCGCATGCTAATCAACCTGGGTCTATTCATTTTAGTTACCACTACGCTTCCAAGGAGTCCCATGTTATGTTCAGCCAAACGCATCCCTGAAAGGCGTAGCTGAAGCTTGCAGAAGACTCGAAGCCCCTCTCCTGAAGACGGTCCAAGTTGATACATCCAACGAGCAAAAGGCTGTAGTAACGTCGACTCTTGGCTGGCGATGCTTCGGTCTATGGGGAAATACGTGTTCCAGCTGTAGTTCCCATTTGTGAAATGGGTGTGTCACTGACTCACTGACTCTCTGAGACACTGACTCACTGACTTACTGACTCACTGACTCACTGACTCACTGACTGACTGACTGACGACTGACTGACTGACTGACTGACTGACTCACTCACTCACTCACTCACTCACTCACTCACTCACTCACTCACTCACTCACTCACTCACTCACTCACTCACTCACTCACTCACTCACTCACTCACTCACTCACTCACTCACTCACTCACTCACTGACTCACTCACTGACTCACTCACTGACTCACTGACTCACTGACTCACTGACTCACTGACTCACTGACTCACTGACTCACTGACTCACTGACTCACTGACTCTCACTGACTCACTGACTCACTGACTCACTGACTCACTGACTCACTCACTGACTCACTGACTCACTGACTCACTGACTCACTGACTCACTGACTCACTGACTCACTGACTCACTGACTCACTGACTCACTGACTCACTGACTCACTGACTCACTGACTCACTGACTCACTGACTCACTGACTCACTGACTCACTCACTCACTCACTCACTCACTCACTCACTGACTCACTGACTCACTGACTCACTGACTGACTCACTGACTCACTGACTCACTGACTCACTGACTCACTGACTCACTGACTCACTGACTCACTGACTCACTGACTCACTGACTCACTGACTCACTGACTCACTGACTCACTCACTCACTCACTCACTCACTCACTCACTCACTCACTGACTCACTGACTCACTGACTCACTG